GCAATTCTATGATGGGTAACCCCCTGGGAAGTTTTCTTGGGAAGCGTGCGAGTGAGGATAAAGCATGCTGAAAAGACCCATGTGGTACAATGGGGACAGTACATTGTCGATCTAACGGCTGTGACAGCCCGTTAAGTGGGACCCGGGTAGTTACAAATGGTATCAGAGCTAGGTTGCCAGCCGGAAATCGGGAACTAAGTGCTATGCGTGACAAAATGCTAGACAATAGAGTGGGAGCCACCTCTTTAACCCGTAGGAGCCACATCTAGAATCTCAACGCCTGGCAATGGATCCTCAGATGGATCAAGCGCGACAGGACATCGCGAGTCTAACGGGGGTTGATTGTAATACCCAGACCAAGAAAGTTTTTATTTGATAGGTACTACTCATACTAACAAGGTGCACCTTCTTTTTCGGAAGTCCATTGTTAGAAACTCTACAGTTAAGCGTGCTTGACTTAGAGCAATTTTATGATGGGTGACCCCTAGGAAATTTTCTCGGGGAGCGTGCAAGTGAGGACAAAGTATGTTGAAAAGACCCATGTGGTATAGTGGAGATAGTACGTCGTCGATCTAACGACTGTGACAACCCATTAAGTGGGATCCGGGTGGTTACACTCGTCTCAGGTAGACGAGCCCGAGTCGCTCACAAGCTGCTTTTTCATGAGCCGAGCGGCCGAACCAATTAATCGCTCAACTCGATTGCCACCTCTAGGGTTGGTAGGTCTAATAGCCCATCATCATGTTGTGTGTCTATTTTATCTTAGGGCTTCTTTACGAGTTTTGGGTATCCTTTATGGACTTCTTTAAAGTATCAATTTAGGGAATTTATGAGATGTCTTGGTTTTGGATTATTTTTAGTAGTAATTTTTAAAACAATACAATTCATGTTTTGGAGTTTATTATTAAGTGGTTCTGAATTTTATTTTAAAGAATAAATTACACATGTCTGTGTATAAAAAAGTTAGGTTATATGTGAACAATATATAGTAAATGTCTATGTTACTTTTTACTAGTCAATATCACTTTATCTAGTTTACTCAATCATTTTCTATTGTGTATAGACTAATGTCGTTTTGAATAAGTTCTTACATGCCAATCGTTTTTTATTGAATTATAAGATGAGAAAAATGAATATATTTGTAAAGCTAATTTCATCTAGTAAACGCATTTTAATTTTTTCTTCTAAATACCTTTTAAGAGATGACATCCATCAAGTTTGAACAAAATACAAGTTACGCAGATTTTCTCAAATTTTCACTCAAAATAAATCAAAACAAGTGGAAAAACTGACAAGCAGTCTTTCAGTTTCTCAATGGGCCAGTGGTTCAACAATTAGACAAATGGAAAAAATCATACAATGATTCACAAAAGAACAATGATATTCATTCCCACTGGAATTGAATTCCAGTCTATGTGGCAATTATATAGTATTAAATAATAGACTCAATTATATAAGTCATGTTAAAATACGTGTTGGCAACATCTTGGCCAATAATTTAAAAAACAGTTTTTGAAATCAATGACCTAAATCTTGCCACATCATTTTGTAAACACACTTTTGTAAACCACCTTCGTACAAGTAGCATAATTGTTGACAAACATATAGTACACACATGATTAATTAGAGACGGTGGGATGTCGATTGCAACAGCTACTCTCTTCATGACACTTAGATGACTTTCCAACGTGTCACCTTGTCTTTAAGCCTGCATGTTTTTTTAACTGCAACCTTTAAATTTTATTCTTTAGCAGAAATTTTCGTCAAGGTTGCCGTTCAAAGAAACAAGTGATTCCAACAGATCTGACTTTTATGATGAGACTATAATATATATAGTTTAAAAAAATCTCTCTACATTTCTCTTAAAAGAGAGGCCCTGAGATTACAATTCATTCTCGTCACGTTACTTTTCACACTTATCTTGTTCATTCAAATTGATTTTTCTACAGTGGCCAAATGAAACACGTTTTCTTTACGTTTATCACTCCTCTCGTTTACCTGCAAAATTGCAATCCTCAAAAGACTCGCGAAGGGAAGAATGACAATCGAAGTTGGAACGGATGTTGTTCATAAGGCGAAATCCCACATGTAACTATTTTTATCTTTGTTATTGGAATTTTGATTACTAGGGTTTTTACCATGGGGACCACGGGTGTTTGAAGCAGAGGCTTCAAGGGTCGGGTCCATTAGAGTGGATGAAACTACCGAGTCTTTGGATTGAGTCATGGCACGAGAACGAGTGAATATCAATGAGTTCGCGGAGGAAGAGGCATTGGCGGCGACAGCGTTAGAGGCAAAAAGACGAGCACGCTTAGTGGCACGAGTGGTTGGACCAGAGGAAGAAGAAGAGGTTGATGAGGTGTTTGCGTCCGCCCGCTTCCGACTCTGAGTTTCCATACAAAAACGCTTTAGGAAACCATAATTTTGTGGTAAGGACTTTTTTTTAATCTTTTCAACTTTAATGTTAATGTAAAATGAGATTTTGGTTTACTAAAATCGAGGGGTTCTTGAATTTTATTTTGTTGAACAAAGTTTTTCATAAAAGAAAATAAAACATGTTGAGGGTTCGCGTTCAGAAAATTAACGTAATGCAAATAAAGAAGAAATAATATCTAAACAAAAACATGCCTCTTCAATTCCTTTTGTAGCCAGAAGTGTCGACTGTGTGGTTAGATCATGTGTTTCATGAATATTGAAAATGAGCAAACACAAATGACAATTTTTTATATGATTTATTATTTATCTCATATAATTAACTTCTTGAAAAATTTGAAAAACTTGCTCCAAAATATACAATTCTCAAAAAGAAATTTTTTTTATTGGAAAATGAGGTAAATAAATTTTTGGAAACTCAAAAAGTTTTTGAAAAAAGAAAAAGTTGATTAGGACTCTTTAATTTAGGGTAACTCTTCTTTTAAAGAAAAGATCTTAAATTTGACTAAAATTGTTCACAAATTTATTAAAAATTTGTCAGTTAAAGCCTCTACTTCCTCTCTTTCAAATGTCACATGTAGTTTTTGTGATAAAAATGAACATATATCTTTTAATTATTCAATCAAAAAGAGATTGTACTTTGAAGGTAACTACAAGTAGATTCAAAAATCCAATAACACTAATTACCAAGTACCCAAAGTTCTATGGGTACCAAAGGTCAAAAATTGAATTATTTTTGTAGGTACCAAAGAATATAAATAGTAAATAGTTCTTCGATAGTGAATGCTCAAAGCACATGAACGAATATCAAACTTTATTGACATGCTTTGATAAAAAGGATGGGGTCAACTCACTTTTGGAGACAACGCCAAAGCGAAATATTCTTGGCATTGTAAACATCGATAATAATTCATCTTCCTCTATTGAAAATTTCTCTTAGTAGATATCATTAAACATAATATATTTAGTATTAGTCAATTGTACGATAAATGTTATCATATCAAATTTGATTCTTTCAAATGTCCTATTGATGATGCTACATCAAAAGAAGTGAAGTTTATTTGAAGCCGAATGATGACTACACTGAGTTTGAAAGTAAAGAAAAATGTTTATCAAGTTTAAAAGATGATACTTAGTTATGGCATAGAAGATTAGGTTATGCAGTATGGACCTACTTTCAAAAAATTTCAAAAATTATTTTATTAAAGGTTTGTCAGATTTAAAATTTGAAATTGATAAAATTTGTGATGTATGTCAATTTGGAAAACAAGTAAAGAGTTATTTCAAACAAAAGTAACATTCTTCAAGTACAAAACCTTAACAACTTCAATACATGAATCTTTTTAGACTATCTAGAACCTCAAGCTTAAGTGGCAAACATTATGCTTTCGTCCTTGTTGATAACTTTTCTAGATTTACTTGGATCCTATTTTTAAACCTAAAAGATGAAACTTTGAATGCATTTAAATATTTTTGTAAAAAAAGGTTCAAAATTAAAAGGGGTGTGCTATTACAACCATCATGAGTGATCATGATGGAGAATTTGACAATAGTTCATTCGATAATTTTTTACAAAATTCATGGCTATGTATATAAATTCTCATCTCCATAACTCCTCAACAAAATGATGTAGGAGAAAGGGGAAAAATCGTAAAATGACTTGGACTATACTAAATGAAAATAGTTTACCAAAATACTTTTCACTACAACAAAAATAGTCATTTGCAACACTAAAAAGGTAACATTTTTTATAAATGTTGCTAAAATGGTCTTTGGCAACATTTTAGTAAATGAATGTTGCAATTGATATTAATAAATACATTTTGCAACGTTTTTTAGAAGAATGCTGTGATAGCCTCCCTTTTTCCAACATTTATTGAGTGCTGCAGAATGTTTCACCTTTCGCAACGTTTGTCAAACGTTGCGAAGGGTCTACTTTTGCAACGTTTGACAAACGTTGCGAAAGTTTTTGTATTTTTTTAAATATACGCAACCCAAATTAACCCAAACCCTCTATTTATTCACGTCTCCGTTCATTCCTCTCCAACCTACCATTAACGTCTCCGTTCATTCCTCTCCAACCCGCCACCTCCACCTTCCGGCACAATGCCATTCTACAAAACCACCAACAACCACCATGCCCACCAACAACAACCAGTCACACAACCACCAATAGCCTCACCTCATCATACACAATCGTGAGCACCAAATTTTTCTCACAAACCCTTAATTGCAACCAAAATCGATCACGTTCTGGACGAAATTAAGGAAAACCCATGGTTGGGTTGGGTCCGCCATGTGGAGGGGAAGGCAGATCGATAGGCCACGACCATAAGTCAATTATATGGAATCAGAATTTGGGATCTTCGAACCTAACTGTGCGAACTGCATGACTGGTTAAGGTGACTTCCCTTCTGGTTCCTTATATTTTCTTAAGTTTTCCTTCAGGATTGTTCCACTTGTTAAGGTGATGGTCTCTGCCTCGAAGTTATACTTTCTTTCTTTCAACTGAAGTCAATTTTCTCAGCAAAGTACTTGGCATTGTGGTGAAGGGGTGAGGTTGGAAAATGGATTGCTTTCATTGCAGTTGTATTGAAGCTTTTCTTCCCCCAACATTTCTCAGGTAAAATTGAGTCTGTATTTGTGAATGATGAATGGGATGTGGCATTTCAGAACACTTGAATTTTGAAAGAAATACAGTCCTAAAAGTTGTTAGACCGCTGAATGCATACCTGCTTGAACAACAATTCAGGTTTCACATATATGTATTATCATAATAAAATCAGGTTCTGGTGTTGATTGGACTGTCCATCAATTATGGTTCAAATGGTATCGTATGATCTTGCACTCGAGGGAATTATGTTGTCTATTGGAATTAAACTCTCCATTTGATGATTTTGCTATTGCATTGAAAAGGTTACGACTTTTACTATTCATTCATTTAAGTTTTCTTGATGTTGATGGTTTTGAGGCTTTTAAATTTAATAAAATTTGAATTTGTTGCAGACTTGCATCGTTATTTGTTGGCTTTGCTGCACAATATGTTTTGAAACTGGCTCTTGGGGTGTTGGTAGCACGGGGATTTGATCCTATGTTCTATGCTAGTTTTGTTCTCATGTCTTGTGTTGCCAGGGCACAACTATCAAGCTATGCCAGCTTCTTGAGCAAAGGCGATGTGGCCTTAAGCCTTCTATTGACCAACTCGACTACTATTGCATCAGTTCTTGTTACTCCTCTTTTAACTGGCCTTTTCCTAGGTTCTGTGGTTTCAATTGATGCAACTGCTATGTCGAAATCAATTTTTCAGGTACCAAAACTCCATGAGAACATAAAGGCACTCTTTCTACTTCATCACAAATGTCGAGAATAAAATTGTGATCTTTTTTGCACATTCTCTGCTCGGGGAATATGAAATATTTAGCACATTCAAAAGGAATTCTATCTGTTCAAGAACCCTAGTCCAAAACCTTGTGCTTTTGGTGATTTATATGCCATTTTAAATTCAAATGCTTAACTTAAAAAGTAATCAACGGTAGTTTATTTATTAATTGAGATGCCAATATTGGATGTGACTCAATCATTCTTTTCCTCATCTTTTTGGCTAATAGATTTTCTGTATTTTCCAGGTGGCTCTTGCTCTGGTTATACCGGATAGAAAAGTGAAGACGGAATAATGGAAGCTAATAGGAGAACTAGAAGGAGAGCTTTAGAGAGCAGTTAGGGTGGTTCATATTTTTGGTAGTTTGTGACTAGTAACTTTTGTTTGGAGAGAGATGTAGACTTGGTGCCAGATTCCTCTAATTTTATTTCATTTTATTTTATTTCATTTTGAAGCTCATTTTTATGTAGGTGTTGTTGTATCACATTCTGATATTCAAGTGTATCGATTCAAAAATTTATAATGAAATTACCAATTTTTATGCAATTCCAAAATTTATTCATAAGGAGTCATTTTGAATTTTGCCAATCAATTTTCATAAATTGTTGTAAATAAAAAAAATATACGACAACGTTTTCTGAACGTTGCGAAAGACAGTCTTTCACAACGTTCAGAAAACGTTGCCATAGACCTTTCGCAACGTTTTTTCACAGTCTTTCGCAACGTTTAAAAAACGTTGCGAAAGGCCAACATTGTCGTATCTTTCTACTCTACGACAACACATCGATTTGCAACACACGTCCAAACGTTCCATAAGCCTACGGCAACGTTCAAAAAATGTTGGCCAACGTTTTCCGTAAATCTCTTGCACTTTGATATTATGCACAAAAAAGAGGATATTGTATCGACTTTGGACTTGTAGTGCTCTTTGAATAACGTGGGCAAGTGACCTCTTTGTACACCATTGCACCCTTAGACTTATGAGGATCCATGAAATATGGGACTCAAAAAGTAACATACAACACAAAGTAAAAGACAATTAAGTAAAAACATAAAAGATGCAGAAAAGTAAATAAAGACAAAGACAAAAGATAGAAAAGTTGGGTTGCCTCCCAACAAGCGCTTTTTTATAGTCTTTAGCTCGACTATAGCAAATGGATCATGGGCTCATGTAGAAAGCTTGGCATGCTTTGCCCATTTTCCTCCTTTTGGCTTTGGTCCACTCTTCATTCGATCGCCAACACTCATCATCGCCCTTTGTAATGTAGTAGGACTTCCCCATTCTCTCCAATTCAACTCAACAATGAAGATTTCTATCCCTTCATCAGGCATAATCACAAACTGAACTGTAGGGCAACCAAGGAAGTCA